GAGAACACAGGCAGCAACCTCTTCGACCTCAGCTGCAGCAACTTCTTCCTAGAAACATTGCCAAAGGCAAGGGAAGCAAGGGCAAAAATGAACTATTGGGACTTCATCAAGTCAACAAAACCAAAAGACAACTGCCAGAATGGGAGAAGATATTTGCAAATGACATATCAGATAAAGGGCTAGTATCCAAAATCTATAAAGAACTTACTAAACTCAACACCCAAAGAACAAATGATCCAATCAAGAAATGGGCAGAAGACATGAACAGACATTTTTCCAAAGAAAACATCCAAATGGCCAACAGACACATGAAAAAGTGCTCAACATTGCTCGGCATCAGGGAAATCCAAATCAAAACCTCAATGAGATATCACCTCACACCAGTCAGAATGGCTAAAATTAACAAGTCAGGAAACGACAGATGTTGGCGGGGATGCGGAGAAAGGGGAACTCTCCTACATTGTTGGTGGGAATGCAAGCTGGTACAGCCACTCTGGAAAACAGTATGGAGGTTCCTCAAAAAGTTGAAAATAGAGCTACCATAAGACCCAGCAATTGCACTACTGGGTATTTACCCCAAAGATACAAATATAGGGATCCAAAGGGGTACATGCACCCCAATGTTTATAGCAGCAATGTCCACAATAGCCAAACTATGGAAAGAGCCAAGATGTCCATTGACAGATGAATGGATAAAGAAGATGTGGTATATATATACAATGGAATATTATGCAGCCATCGAAAGGAATGAAATCTTGCCATTTGCAACAACATGGATAGAACTGGAGGGTATTATGCTGAGCGAAATAAGTCAATCAGAGAAAGACATGTATCATATGACCTCACTGATATGAGGAATTCTTAATCTCGGGAAACAAACTGAGGGTTGCTGGAGCGTTGGGGGGGTGAGAGGGATGGGGTGCTTGGGTGATAGACATTGGGGAGGGTATGTGCTATGGTGAGCGCTGTGAATTGTGTAAGACTGCTGAATCACAGACCTGTACCTCTGAAACAAATAATACATTATATGTATAAAAAAAAAGGAGAAGATAGCAGGAGGGGAAGAACGAAGTGGGGGAAATTGGAGGGGTAGACGAACCATGAGAGACGATGGACTCTGAAAAACAAAATGAGGGTTCTAGAGGGGAGGGAGGTGGGGGGATTGGTTAGCCTGGTGATGGGTATTAAGGAGGGCACGTTCTGCATGGAGCACTGGGTGTTATACGCAAACAATGAATCATGGAACACTACATCAAAAACTAATGATGTAATGTAAGGTGATTAACATAACATAAAAAAAAGAGTATTTTGTTGACATTGCTTCTTATTAGTCATAGCAGGAAGCAGATAATATCCATCTCTTTTTGATCTGATTTACCAGTGGGTTCAGATGCTGCTGGCCTGATCTATCCATTAAGAATTGACTCCTTGGTTTTTCATCCACTGTTGTAGAAGCCATTGATAATGATTGACCATGATGATCTCTTTTTGAAATCTACATGAGAGAATTATTCCATCCTCTTCTTTCTTTCTCAAGGGCCCCTCATGACAAACTTTTATATTCTTCAGTGACTGCCAACGTGGCTCACACCACCACTCTTGATAGTGATTTCTAACCTTTTGAGGGTCATAGATCCCTTTGAGAATCTAGAACTTTATAAGAAAAAGAAAAAAAACATACATGCATCAGCACTCGGAATTCCAGTTAGTGTCAGAATATCCTGGATCTCAGGTTAACCCTGCACTCTACAAGCTTGTGGTGCAGCTTTGACTTTGTACAGAACCTTGGTACCCTGACCTTCCCCTCTCCAACTTGAAGACTTTACCTCTCACATTGATGATTCTGTCTTTTGTTTCCTGACCTCATGGTTTTTCTATTTCTTCAAGACCATTGGTCTTTAACTCCACTCAATTCTAACTACTTTTTTGTAGTTGTCCCAACTGAGACATCATTTATTGTCACTTGAAAATTTTCCTTTGTCAAGAATCCAAACTCAGGGATGCCTGGGTGGCTCAGTCGTTGGGCATCTGCCTTCGGCTCAGGTCATGATCCCAGGGTCCTGGGATCGAGTCCCACATCAGGCTTCCTGCTCAGTGGGGAGCCTGTTTCTCCCTCTGCCTCTCCCCCTGCTAGTGCTCTCTGACAAATAAATGAAATCTTTTTTTTTTTTTTTTTAAGATTTTATTCATTTCTTTGACAGAGAGAGACACACAGAGAGAGGGAACACAAGCAGGGGGAGTGGGAGAGGGAGAGAGAGAAGCAGGCCCCCCACTGAGCAGGGAGCCCGATGCGGGGCTCGATCCCAGGACACTGGGATCATGAACTGAGCCGAAGGCAGATGCTCAACGACTGAGCTACCCAGGCACCCCATAAATAAAATCTTTAAAAAATAAAAAAAAAAAGAATCCAAACTCAGCTTCCCCCTGCCCCCAACTGCCAACTCCTTGACTTTATTTTGGCCCACCTCATTTCCTACATTCTTTTGACTTCTCAAATCACTGGTCTCAGCCGGAATCATAACAAAGTCTCAAATCTATAGCGGGGCATCTCAGTGTTGCTTTCTCTGGGGATTTAGGATCTTTGACTTGTTCATGTTCTACCACGGGGCTCACTCTCTTGTCTGCCTTCTGCTTTTCTTCCAAAGGTGCTCAGAGTGGCAATGCTGACAACGTCCTTATAAATTCAGACTAAGTTAAGCTGGTCTCTCGGTGCAGTTCACCCACTTCCACTCATCTTTTCCTACTCCCCTATTTCTGTGCTACTCAGATGTTCATGGACCAGTAGCATCAGCATCACCTAGAAACTTAAAATAAATGCAAAATCTAAGGCCTATCCTGGATCTACTGCATCAGAGTGTGCATTTTTAACAATCTCCCCAGTGAATCATATTCACATGAACGATCAAGAAGTACCATCCTATCTGTTCTCCACCTTGGTCGTTCTAAATTTTTCTCACAGTACTTGATTCTTGATTCCCCCAATGGATGACTCTCTCAGGCAAGGTCCAATCAGGAAAACAGAAAACACTCGAGGGGCGCCTGGGTGGCTCAGTCGTTAAGTGTCTGCCTTTGGCTCAGGTCATGATCCCAGGGTCCTGGGATCGAGCCCTACATTGGTCTCCCCACTCAGTGGGAAGCCTGCTTCTTCCTCTCCCACTCCCCTTGCTTGTGTTCCCTCTCTCGCTGTGTTTCTGTCAAATAAATAAATAAATCTTAAAAAAAAAAAAAGAAAAACAGAAAACACTAAATATTTCAAACAGAAGGAATTTAATACAGAAAACTGGTTACACAGGTGATGGAAGAACCAGGAAGCCATACAGGGGTGGGTGAAATAACCCGGGGATTAACAATATGGCAGAAGCCATGGCCTCCTTATGCTTCAGGGACCAGGGGAAGAGGCAACATGACTGGAGCCCGGACACCATGCTCACCTAGCAGGAGATGGGTCCTTAGGGAAGATGCAGCTACTGGGAGAGAAAGCACAATACCTTGCTTCCTTCCATTCTTTCACCCTCTACTCTCCTCTCAGTGACCTCACATTAAACATGGGCAGAGCTCCGCTGACAAGAGAGCCTTGGAAACCCAGCCTGCCTTTCAGAGAACAGGGCACAGAATGCATCTGAGGGCAAACGGGCTAAACACAGGCCCAGTGACCTTACTTCCTCCCTGCTTCACCTACACTTCCTTCTTCATGACCTCAAAACATCTGCTTTTAGCCATTTTTCCTTCCTTCTGTCCAATCTCAGAAAAAGAGATATCCTTTGGTTTTTCTATGAGAGTTAAAACTGGTATGAAAAGTAACTAAAAGCCAACAAAACGCAAGATTCATGGGGTAAGCCCACCCAGCTCTGCAGGGCTCTAGGACACGCGGGAATGATGTTTGGGAATCAGGTGGCCAGGGTGCTTCGGAAATCCTGCTGTGAAATGTGGGGAAACTGCCTGCAGGAGCTCTCTAGAAAAACTGTCTCCTGCTACGGAAAAGGTGCCAATGCCTTTCTTGATTTCTATAATTGATCATAACAGACTCACACGTTAACTGAAGACGGTCAGGCTGTTTCTATTCCATAAATCGCTGACATTTAGACTTCATGTGCGCTCATTAAAATTAAAACCAAGAACAATCCATCTTCCTCCCTCGGTGCCTTCTCACTGCGGTCTCCCTCTCATAGACCAGGAAGTTGAGGCCAGTGATATCAAAGCCTGCAACTCATGTAACTTCTTTACAGTGAAGAGTGCTGGAGCACATGGGAATGATCTCACCAGTGCGCTGAATCCTGCCAGCCTTCTTCTGAATTGGCTTTCTGACCTGGGAGGACTCCGCTGAGTGAAAACTGCACACCTTTTCAGAAACAGCCTGGGGAGGGGCGCCTGGGCATCTCAGTAGTTAAGCGTCTGCCTTTGGCTCAGGTCACGATCCAAGGGTCCTGGAATCGAGTCCCCCATCGGGCTCCCTGCTCAGCGGGGAGCCTGCTTCTCCTTCTGCTTGTGCTCTTTCTCTCTCTCTCAAATAAATAAATAATCTTTAAAAAAAAACAAAACAAAAAACAGGCTGGGGAGCGCGCACCTGCACCTGCCGCTCCACCCTTTAAAAGCAGAGGGGAGGTGACTGACCTACTCTCTGCTCACCGAGAGCTGCTTTGTGACCTGGATTGTAGGCTCCGCTGCCTGGGGACCTTGGTGGTGTCAGCCTGAGTCCCCGATGCGCCCACAGAGCACAGCCCTATGCCTGGCACGGGGCAGAAACCCGGTATTTGCTGAATAAACACAATAACTCAAAGTCAAAGACTTCGGTCACCAGGTACTGACAGTACCAGTTCCAGCTTTTCATGGAAGCCAGGGGTCTCGGTCCCACCATTTGTAAAATGGAGATACGGTGCCAGGCCCCGTTTACTTCACTGTATTAGTGTTAAGATCGGGTAAGATCATATTTGTGAGTTTGTTCTAGTAAGCAAATAAATTGTTTTTATAATGATCTAAATAAAAAAAGCTTCACACACCAGTGCTTGCATACACATTTATTAAGATGTAGCCAAGTGAAATGTGTCCGTTCCTCCTCTTGAGTACAGTCTTCTTTACTGATGTGTAACAACGCCCAAGGGCCGGGTGAACTACATAATCAAAATCAAATGCCAGCTTTTCACAGACTTTGCCAAAAGAGTGCAGCCCGAAACACCATTTTAAACTGCAAGAAATCTGAGGACATTTCATTCATAGTCTTGCTTTTTGCTGTTGTTGATACATACACTTTAATTTTAATGTTCATCGCAGATCCATATTTAAAAAGAAAAAAGTAGTAGAGAGCAGAGCTGTCAGTGTGAAGGACAATGCAGTATTAAAATACAGCTGCTTTTCATCCGTACTCGTCTAAATTAGAAACATGCTGCCATTCACAGGGGCTCTAATCACACGTGCGCATAAGCAGTACTGAGGCCTAACGGGTAGTGTGGGTTCCTACCCGGCATCTTCACTTTATTCTGGGTCCTTATCCTCATCTGAAAAATGGGGGACCGACTTCTTGGCAACCACATTGTCCAGTCTCTGTCCTTGTAGATACGGATTGACACTCTGAAAAAAATATGGTTTGGTATTATACCTGAACATCAGATACAGACATCTCGCAAAAGACGTGAGTGAGAATTGCTTCTGGCCCTATTGGGTTTAAAAACAAGGGGCGCCTGGGTGGCTCAGCCGTTAAGCGTCTGCCTTCGGCGCAGGTCATGATCTCAGGGTCCTGGGATCGAGCCCCGCATCGGGCTCCCTGCTCCGCGGGAAGCCTGCTTCTCCCTCTCCCACTCCCCCTGCTTGTGTTCCCTCTCTCGCTGTGTCTCTCTCTGTCAAATAAATAAAATCTTTAAAAAAAATAAAAAATAAAATAATAAAAACGAGGTAACAGTGGTACGTACCACCTACCAAATGATTACTCCAGTGCATCTTCAATACCTGGGCGTCTGACTGACAGATGTGTCTAATTGTGTCTTTCACGCAACCAAAGAGTTCTTTATCAGATGCACTATGTCTCCCGCCTGCTTTTTGGTACAAAGATTTAGAGTGAGCCAGCTAGTAAGTTCTCACTACTAACTTAGGTACCAAGCCCCATACGAAATAACATTATTATTCTATGGCTTTATTTAGTGGGAGAGAGCATAGGAAATGCATCACATTATAAGAATGTTCTAAAGAAGACGACAGAGCAGGACCAAGCGGGAATCAGCACCTGCAGACTGGTCATAGGACATCCTGTTGCTGTACTGCTTCCATGCCAGGGTTCTACCTCAAGAGGATCCATCAGCGGCCCTAGAATTCTTCCCTCACTCAAGTTCAAAAGCTAAAGAAAAGAACTAAGCTACACACAAGGTGCCTTTTTTTTTTTTTTAAACATTTTATTCATTTATTTGACAGAGAGATAGAGAGAGAGCACAAGTAGGCAGAGCGGCAGGCAGAGGGAGAGGGAGAAGCAGACTCCCCGCGGAGCAGGAAGCCCGACGTGGGGCTCGATCCCAGGACCCTGGGACCACGACCCGAGCTGAAGGCAGACGCCTAACCGACTGAGCCACCCAGGCGCCCCGGTGCCTTTATTTTTGACTCAAGACTTCGTAGTCTGAAATCTTTCATCTGTGGCTCCTCTGAATGAGTCAAGGCTTTTCCAGTCCTTCTCTAATACATATCTATTTTTTGAGGTTTGGATTTGAACTAGTAATTGGAGCTTTACAACACAGTATTTAGCAAGCAGAAAAAATTTCAAAAGTTTTGGAAGCTATTTGTTTATTGAAGTCACCTTCCGGTAACTGAACAAAAATAAAAGGAAGAAGCTATAGTTACAAATGATCAGCAATCCCAAGTCCCCGTGAATGAAGGGTGGCAGTTCACAGGTGGGTCTCTCTCGCCAAGGGGACACTGTCTGCCTTGGCTCTTTTGAAGGGTGAGCAGGTCATTCTCCAAAAGAAATGGACCCTAACTTTAGTGTTTGTGAATGTCCTTCCACATTCTCACAGCTGAAAGCATGAATCATGAAAGGCCCTACTCATCCAGCAAAAATGCATTACAAACAAGCTGAGAATTACAAAGTGTGCGATGCCTTCATATCTGAAAAGGGACATGTCACAAAAACACAGCACTTTCCTGGGAAGGCATCCTTAAAATACTTAGAATAACGAAAATACTTTTTATATCAGAGATTGTCCACTAGAATGGTCTGGCTTACTCCAGAGAGTCATGTTAGAATCTCTGGGTAAGTGAAGCAAGTGTAGACTGAAAAAGTGTACTCAATACCATAAATACCTTCATTGTTTTTTAGTAATAATATTTATTCTGAAAATTCTAAGACATTAAAAAGGGTATGAGATTTTCATACTTACCAAGTATGGGAATAAAAGGTTGATAAACCCTTTAAATAAGATAAATAGTAGATTTCAAATATTGACAAGATACATCTTAACAGTTATAGTTTGCAAAGGTGATCATTTAAAGGGAAATTGACCTTTTACTCATGAAGCAACTCAGAATTCAATTGGATTTGATCGAATACAGAAAGTTACATCCTCCAGGGAGGGTCCGTCTTGGTAAAGGGACTTTCACAGGAGCAAGTCCTTCTGCCCAGGCCCAGAAAATGACAAATATTGGAGGGCAGGGGAAGTAAATTAATGAGGAAGCAGAGGGAACAATCACTTGAATTTTTTTTGATAAATGTTCATTAGTATTGAATCCTATACATAAGAGGAATAATAGTTAGATACTTGGTTTTAATTATCCTCTGAAAAACTCAAGGCACTTATATATTTCTCTTCTCTCCTGCGTGAGAGAGACTGGCTAGGTTACAGAGAGAACATTTTTTCCATTTCATAACTGGAAGAAACATTGGGATCAGATTCCTGCTTTTGATGTCCTTTGGAAATCCACAGCAGGTACTGAGCTTCGCTGGAGACAGCCTTGGTGATTGGGGCACTTGAGGAGGTGAGTAAAGTCTTCAATTAAGTGGAAACTTCACCTGAGGCTTTCAATTAAGTGGAAGCCTCACCTGAAGCAAGTTCTGTTTCCTCAGCAGTCCTGAGAAGGCCAGGATTTATGGCATGACCATGAGTTTTTGTAGCTGTCTGAGAAGAGGAAGAACTTGATACCACTGGGTCAAAATGACCCTTATTTTCATAAATTCTAAGCCTTTCCTATGTGGAGGAAGTTGAGGCCAAAGTACAATCCTTTATAACATGTGTCCTAGCCAGAATTCTGAGTTTTGGTAATCACGGGTCTCATGTAAAAATGACCTGAATCCTGACCCACGGTCATTAACCAAGTCAGGGCAGAAGGAATGGTGAGCCAGGAAATAGAGACAATTAAAGCTTCATGCTAAGTTATTCATCTGGGGTCGGTCATTGGTCTTATTTGGAAATGTTCTTGTTGTGCCACAGGGAGATATTCAAGCCATCTTACTGGTAAATTATGTGTATTGTGAGCTCCTGAAATAGAATTTCTTGATGTTTTCTCAAGACCACATTACACCCTTCAGACCCTTTCTGCCACCATTTGCCATCGGAAACTGTAATCGCCCCCCTAAAAAAGCCCTAATGACCCTGTGAACTCTCCGGAAGAAGATCTGTTTCCAGACAACTTTGCTTCTCAATAGAAAACTGGCCACGCATCATTTGTATCTTGTTAGGCAGCACAGGGGCTTGGAACTTTCGGTCGCGGGGGCCCGTCAATTAATGCTGCATCCAGAAAATCGACACCTCCTCGAGCACCCTGACCGGATTCGGCAGAACCATGCAGGCCGGCCGCAACTACCACTGTCCAGATTCCCAGATGTTGCCAGGATCCAGGCACTTGCCGGCTAAATAAACAGTCAGTGGCCTTGGGTATACGGTTTGGTTTGTATATCTAACTAACGTGGTTACTCTCTGGCAGCACTACGCTGCGGAAGAACAGGACTTGAACTTTCTCCTTCACCTGATCAGAAAAAGAAGGCAGGGGGCCAGGCACTTCTGTCCACGAGGGCACCCATGGATTATCAGAACAGACACTGATCACTGATTCAGCCTCGGGGCCATAAAATGCCCTGGAAACTCAGAGCAAACTTGACATTCAGCTTTACAAGAGGCAACACCACAGCGGCTCCATGCACGACACCCAGACCAACGTGCCACCCCGGGCCGCCCTGAGATGGTAAATACCTAAGCCTGCCAACAAATTCACCCGCCAGCAGACAAATACAACAGATCTAGTGGATTGTACATCAGGTTGGCTAAGCGAAGAAAAAGGTATGTAGGAGGAATGAGGTTTGGTCATCTCATCTTTTACCCCTACATTCCTTCAAAATTACTGCCTGGAGCTTGCAGTTCAGCAAGCACTTCCTTGTTCTTGTCTTGTGTTTTTATATAATTGGTGCAAATGTGTGAGCAGTTGCCCCCAGTGGCCTAGAGCCCCTCTGAGGAAAGACACCCTCATGTGCTCCCTGAATTCCCACACCCAGAGCAGGGATGCAATCCACATTTCGCGAATGCGGTGGAGGTGGCTGGATCACCACCAAGAGGGGCTCCGCTAAGAACCATGCGCTAAATCGTGGGCAAACCATCTCAGGAACCGACGGCACGGCCCTTGTTCCCTGGGACCCCAGTCGTGCCCTCCCAGGATGGCACATGAGAGGCTTCGGCTATTTACGACAACGGAGGGTGAGTTACACTCAGAAAGCTCCAGGCGTCCCACCAACAGCCCAGTCCACCACACGTTACCCTCCGCCTTCGTGTCTGTCCTCCCTTCATCTTCTCATAAAGGAGTTTCTTGTTCTAGAATGGGGAGAAAAAGAAAACACAAATGCACAAGTATGGATCAAATTTGGTGAGCGTCTATTTTAGAAGCAATACTTGGTGTGTCCCCCTGGATATTTGCATACGCATATTTTGGAAACAAAGCTGGATGAAAGGAATGTTGTGTCAGAAAGATAGACCACAAAAGAAAAGCTGGTGGTTGTGTAGCTTTTAATAAAGTTCTCTGCAATGCCCCAAGGCACCCCAGTGTCACCAACAATCATATAAACAGGAAAATACGACATTCTAAAACACACGGGGCACTGGAAACTCGGCTCCTCACTTTGAACAGCCTTTGTTTAAAACAAAGTTTTATCTCGTTTTACTTTTGTACCCAACTCCCTTTTTATGAGCTTTACACATAAACTGTTCTCTAGAGGAGTGTCTGACTATTAATAACAATCCTCTATGTCAATAAACGAGACCTTCTGACTTCTGCGACCTTTCCTCCTGTGGTTTCGGTCAGTGTGTGCCCCCAGTCCAGACAATCGGAAAATCATTTGGTCTATAACATTTTTAATAGAGTGAACCTTTTAAAAACTGCCAAAAAACATCTTGGCAGAAGGAAAGCTATGTTGGGGGAAAAAAAAAACCGGGCTCTGTTACCACAGTTTGTATAAGTGTTTCCACATATTGCTGTATTTCAAACACATAGTGGACTTAAATGAGCTCTAGAATATCGGACACATGCTCCGCAGATTTCTCTTCTACTGAGATTATAGACGACAGAACACTTAATCTGAAGGCAGAACGGGAGAAGGGGCATTGGGGGGACATATTTGTGTTGGCTTTTTATTCTTTTTTTTCATCAGAAGGGAAATAATGTATAAAAGAGATGATTCATCTTACTCTAAGTAAAATATACTGACACTGTTTTTTGTTTTTGTTTTTTAAAGAGATGACAGTTCTGTTAAGGAACAAGTTTATACAACGCTTTTATCCTCTGAACTGTTTGGATATAGAGACTTTTTTTTTTTTTTTAATGGTAGATTTGGAAACGAAAATGACAAATGCCAAGAAGGAGCTTCATAATTTTCATGTTCATTAAAATCGACCCCACCCGCTATTTACCATGCGTTATCTCTTGCCCAAACCTCAACTATGCAGGGAGACCGGCGCCGGGGAGTGAAGGGGCCTCCGCAGCCGCAAAGGCCGGTACTGGCCGCAGCCTCGGCCCCCCGCTCACTTGGGGAACTGGTCCATCTAATATTGGGAGGGAGGAAAGGCAGACGTGCAGACCACACCCTCGAAGAATGAGCACATCGCCGTGAGGCTCATTCTTGTCGTCTGTAGTTGCCTCTCCGTGGATGTAACAACCCTTGCTGCGCAGAGAACGTCTGGGAGCTTGTGCCGACGCTGGGGCAGGGGGTTGGGAGATGGGGGCCAGGACAGAGGCTCTTCACGTGCATCGTCAGGGTCCGCCGCCTGAATGGGTGGGAGGGCACGGGGCCTGGAGCCTGAAGGATGGTGGGGCAGCCCCTCCGCCGCGGCAGAGCTCCACTGCGCCACCAGCAGGGTGAAGGCGGCATCGTTGTCCTTCATCTCCTTTAGAAGGTTGTGGGGCAGAGGATACCAATGAACAGCCTTCATTCAAAAAGAAGTGCAAAAAGTCTAGCAAGTCTTCCTCTCAGAGATGGTGCCTGGGTTTGCCTAAGACCCAGGTTTAGGATTAGCCGGATGATGCTTTCCCACACCTGCATGAAAGGGGCTGGGGCACTCCTGACTAGCTCTGCTCTTGAATGGATTTAAAGGCAAGGATTGTTAGGTACAGGGTAAGAGAAGTATACGAAAGGAACCAGAAGAAAGCAGCCCCCCCTCCCCTGACACCCATTCCTTGTAGATGGGGTGGGGATGGGGGAGTGGTGAGCCTGTTTTCCATGTGAGTAGCAGGTTCAAGTTCACAAAAAGGGCTTTCCACTGTGCCATCAAGATTTTGGACAACTGCCCAGATCTTGGTTTCAAATTCCATTCCTAAACGGAACCAGGGAGACTTCTCGGAGAATGTCTGATTCCAGGGCCAGGGCAGGGAAAGTACGAGGATCAATGAAGCTGGAATATCTAATTGTGCCATAAGGGAGGAACATGCTCAGAAAGTGGTGAGTCATGTCAAAAGGACAGAGAAGCCAGCTTGGAGACTCCCACTGGCTAAATCTAGGACAGTTTAAACACCAAAATAAGTAATAATAAGAATCTACAAACCATCAAATAAACCAGTTTTTAAATACATAAATGAATAAATGGGGGAAGAGGGGAGACCCTTGCTTAGAGTAGAATGCCAGCCAGTAAATGTAGAATGAGTAAGAGAGATGAAAATCACCATTTGACAACTACCATAGTTATCGATTCTGGCGAGTATCATCAAAGGAGACTAAAATTGTTGGCTCAAGTTCAATGGGGACAGAACATGTATACAGTCTGAAAGTATCTCCCCACAGATTATTAATTTCAAAGGGAAAAAAACCAGTAATTTTACACTTGAGAAACCTGGCCGACATCACTTAGACCAGGTCACTACAAAATCTGGGACAAAGTGGCATCACATGTGTCCTGATGTCAACAGTAAGAGGAACATCTCAGAAAGGCATAACTCAAGGCTAATCACACGGAAACATGAGGCAAACCCCAAGTGACTCTTTAGCGGGGTCGAGGTCCTGAAAGACAAAGAAAGGCAGAGAGGGTCCTTGTTGCCCCATTTCTTTCTTGGCTCAGGCTCTGGCTGTGATCAGCTGCTTCCGGGGAAGAAAGAGACCCTACTCACCCCAAACGGGCTGATGAAAAGATATGAAAAGCACTTGGAAAAGAGAAACATTTGCTTTTCGAGAGAACTTTTTCCTGAGTAGCAGTGAGCAATTACTGTGTGAAGGAGGGGGCGACCGATACCCACGGTGGCCAGCCTGTGGCCATAGCCACTCCACGCTGGGGACACACACACTGTCCAAAAGGCAGCCAGTCCTAGACAGGACTCGATGAGCCCCCTGTACAGGACGCATTATGAGCCATGAGCCACGAAACAATAAGGAATCTGTTTTTAAAGAACTCCTGGAGTCAGATGGTCCAGTTCAAATCCCAGCTCTGCTGATCATCAGCTCTGTGGTGTTGGGCAGGCTACCCAACACCCCCTAAGCCTGGATTTTCTCATCTGTAAAATGGGAGTGATCGGGATGGGCAGATCAAATGAGATAATTCACATACAGTTTTTAGCACAATATCTGGCACACAGTAGGTGCTCAATAAATATTACTATTTACTACCATATAATAAAATACAACGACTCTTCATCTTCATTCCCGTCATCTAACAGAAGGCCTGAGGGCATGTGATGTGCATTTAACAAATGTGTCTTGATGCATTAACAAAGAGAAAGTAATGCAGGAAACAAGACAGACGCTGATATTTATAATATATGAATCACTGCTAAAGACCTAGCTGAGCTCCAGCTAATGTCAAAAACAGACAAATGTTATTAGCATATAAGGAATCACGGTGTTGTGTGCCATTCTCTTGTGCAAGACCATTACTTTGTTAACTTACAATCCGGCTGAGCTTAGGACAGGCTTGAGACCATCGTTCTCTATAAACAGGGAGGAAGGCCTCTCAACCCCAGCATAGAAAAGCAAGACATACAGCAGTTCCCCCTTATCCGAGATTCTGCTTTCCACGGTTTTAAGTTACCGGTGGTCAACCACGGTCTGGAAGCAGATGATCCTTCTTCTGACATATGGTCACTTACTGTTACATCAAATGCCTACGTTATTCACCCCACTTCGTCTCATCACAAGAAGGGTAGTGTAAGTGCAATAACGATATTTTGAGAGAGAGAGACCACATTCATATAACTTTTATTCCAGTGTCTTGTGATAATTGCTCTATTTTATTATTAATTACTGCTGTTAATTTCCTACTGTGCCTAATTTATAAATTCACCTTTATCATGTATGTATAGGAAAAAACAGTATACATAGGGTTTGGTACTATGCAGTTTCAGGAATCACGGGGGGTTTTGGAACAAATCCCCCTCGGATAAGGAAGACTGCTGTACTCAATTCACACTTCCAAGTGAAGATCAAGGAAATCGGGGCACCTAGTCAGTTAAGCGTCTGCCTTCAGCTCAGGTCATGATCCCAGGGTCCTGGGATCGAGTCCTGCATCGGGCTCCTTGCTCAGCTGGGAGCCTGCTTCTCCCTCTCTCTCTGCTGCTCCCCCTGCTTGTGCTCTCTCGCTCTCTCTCTCTCTGACAAATAAATAAATTCTTAAAAAAAAAAAAATCAAGAAAATCATGTTTCACTGCCAGGCGGTAATGGGAAAATAAATGAGAGAAACTTAAGTTTAAATAAACACATAATTACAAATGATAAAAGGTGTGTACACATTGTTCCTGGTCACTGATCTGTAATAGTAATCTGTCCAGGTTTTCAAGAAAAGGCAAGGAAAGTTCCCAAGAGAGAAGTTTCCATCTTTCTTGCTTCCTCAAAAGGGCTCTCTGCCCTCAGTCTCTCTCCTGCTTCCTTTTGCTCTTTTCCAGCCTACCAGTTCTTCAGGGTGCCTTCAACTTCCTCGAGGACCATCGTACTCGGTGCAAGGCCTCCATCTTGGGTATTCTTCTGCCCTTCTCTTCCCTCTTTGCCATGGTGCTCACGGGATAGCTAGAGTATGAAACTGGACAGCGCTACGTTGGGTTCATTGTGTTTTCATGCATTTCACCTCAACCACGAAGTGGTAAGCTCATGGAAGACCAGTCCCATGTTTGGAAGACAATTGTAAATCGAGCACCTAGCACAGCGCCTGGAACAAAGCAGGCTCCGTATCTTCCACTTGTTCTTTGCTGAACCTGGCCTTTGCTTTTCTTTGGCAACACTTTGCCCCTCTGTTGTGGAGTCCTTCCCAGGGCTCCTCTGTAACCTCCTACTCTTTCCCACCTTCTCCGCTCCCCTTTTTCCCTCCTACCTCCCTCTCTTCTTCACTCTATCCTTTAAAAACTCCCCTCAGAGGAAAAGTTATGCCGTCCATTTCCCGTAAACTTGGCATAGCTCTTCTTTCCTCCTCATGCTATATTTACTCCATATACCAGTTCTAGTCAGCTCCCCAGCTGCCTTTGAAATGTCATAGGTTCTCATCACATTGGTGAGGTTCACTTGAATCCACTATATTCGTGGCCTTCATAACTGGAATTACTTCATATATTTTTTTCTTGCCCTTAGTCTGTTCCTTCTCTATTCCATCCGACCATATGCCACCAGAATAACCTCTTTTATAGGAGACTTTCATGAGTTCAGTCTCCTATTCCAGAACCTATAGATGTTTGCCTATGTAATTCAACATGTTTAAATTCTGCTAGAGGCTTCAGAACAGCTCCATAAACCAAGTCTCCCTAACAGAACCACTTATGAAAAAGAACAGAAATAGCATTAGTGCATTTTGGAGGAAGCAAAATTAAAGCTGCTGTGGTGTTTTAAGATGGGAAATGTGTCCACGTCAAGCGTAGAGGGAATCAATTCAATGCAATGTTAAAGCAAGGTAATGGAAAAATGAAAGTGGTGATCATGAGGAGAGGCATCTCTCTCTAAAACAGTCTAAAGAAAGGGAGGGATTTTAGTCCTAAGACTACGATGGCCCTAGTAATGACGGAAGCAACATCAGCTGCCAGCAATGAACTAACTGAGCAGGGACCGATAACTCTAGAAAGGCTTAGGCAGGAATATCTGCTCGTTCACTCTTGCCACAGATGTACTGACCAGCAACTTACACATGAATTAACACTTCTTAGTACTTTCCCACTTTTCTCACGGGGCTTTTGCATTTGATTGCATAGGCCCGACCACCGGAGCATAGCTATATCCCCATTCAGTCGTGATCTTCTTTGACTCATTGTCCGAGCCTGCTGGGATCTTCTTGAGTCCCGACTCTTGTCATTCAGTGCTCTCCCTTCTAACTTTGCGTCATCTTTTGAGAAGCTGATAAGTACGTGTTCTATATTTTCTATTACAAACATTTCTAAAGATGTGGAGTGGGATAGCACCAAGACATGCAGGATACCACGTGCAGTCTCTCTCCCTGTGGACATGGACTCTTTCACAAGCTCCCTTTTGGTGAGGTTCTCTTGCCGAGGCTGCATCTCTCCACCTATTCCAGGAGGAGATCATGAAAGAGCTCATCAAGTACTTTGCTGAGATCCAAATGCACCATGGTCACTCCATTTCCCTCATCAAGCTGACAAGTAAATGAATAACACTGGCGAGTAGAAGAGTACAGTCAGACTGACAAACCTTGGTTTTAACAAACATATGCCAAATGGTGATGATTTCTCTTTCCAAGTGCCTACAATTTCTTTAATGGACAGTTAGAGATTCTTGCCTTATACTGACAGCAAGTTCACTGCTCCACATTTTGGAATTTTTCTTCTCTTTCCATAGAGCAGAATTACATATGTCTGTTTCTAAACTTTTTTTTTTTTTTTTTAAGATTTACGTATTTTAGAGAGAGAGAGAGAGAGAGCATGAGTGGGAGAGGCAGAGAATCTCAAGCAGACTCCACGCTGAGTGCAGAGCCTGATGCAGGGCTCAATCTTACCATCCTGAGATCACGACCTGAGCTGAAACCAAGAGTCGGATGCTCAACGGACTGAGCCACCCAGGCGCCCCTGTTTCTAAGTTTCTGACATCATTTTTCCTTGGTCCCACAGAGATCATCTCCCTCAGTCTAGAGAGAGAATTTGCAAATTTTTTCGGTGTCCTTTTTTACCAAAAAATAACAACAACAACAAAAAGCAGCCCATATACTTCCTGTATGACCTTTGTGAAACCGTGGTGACACAGGCTGTGGAGGAGACCAGAATCAAAGTCTCTGGAGACTTCAGTTGCTGAGACAGGCTTAGGTCACTGACTCCTGGGATGGGTTGGTATCTTGTATCCTAGACATGCATGTGTTTTGGTAATTACTTGAATTCCCTCTCAACCAGAGATTCCTGAAAAATCAGCTTCCAAGCAATTTTTCTTCTCTCACCCCACCCACATTGCTCATCCCTGCCGTCAGTACCTTCAGAGTATCAGAGTGTAAGATCTACTAGTCATTAAGATTGGACTTACCCACTTGCCTAAGCCTGGATAGTCATGTTCTGGATCAAAGAGGTGCTGGTGCAACTGGAATTCCCGACTGAACTCTGCTGTGTCGGGGGTGTTCTCTAGACATCCGTCATCTACTGCAAACAGCAAAAGGCTTTTGAGGAATGGCCCAGGCATCTATTGTTATTCTAAGAGTGAATTTATTCCAAAACAACCGGACATCCCAAGGTAAGCATCTGTCCACATCAGTCACTCTGGAGTCTGCTCGTCCCAAGCTCTCACTCCTCCTCCCACCTGTGGCAGAGACTGGCTGCCTACTCGCCAAGCCCACTTCCCTTGCCCCCTCGGCACACAGCTAATTTCCCAGCCTTGCCCTGCAATCAGCTGGAGTCATACAGCTGAGTTCGTGCCATGCAATGTGGGCACAAGTGATGTATTCCGTTTCCAGGCCTGGCCCATAGAAACCTCCGATATGATCCCCGCCCCCGCCTGCCCCCCACCCCATCGGCTGCTCGGCCTGCTACATGCTGCCAACCAGGGCAACTGGGACTGTCGCAGGTCAAGAGGAAAGACGGCACTTTGGGTGGCTGAACACCCTCACCCACCTCTGGCAGGACCTCAGGTGAGCGAGAAAGAACCTTCTATTGTGTCACCACTATCATTTTTATCTGTTATAAGAGCAAATCGTTCCTTAACTAGTATACTTCCATTCCACATGACTCATGGTGTTTTCTCTTGGGTGAGCTCCGTAGAAACAACTTCAGGTTCTTGGAGAAGGCCCCTTATATAAGAATGACAACATCACGAGACAGTATTGAGCTGTGTTATCGTGGTGATGGCGGCAGCTTGGAGTCAGACGAACCAGCGCTCAGGGTTCCCGTCCTAGCTCGTAAGTGACAGATGGTCTTAATTCCTTGGGAAGATTAACTCTGTCTCTCTAAACCCATCCATCCATCTACGAGAGGGGCAGAATCAAGGACTTACCTGACTGGGTAGCTGTGAGAAAGAGATGATCACACACAGAACACCTCGCACATAATAGGTTCAGTCTGCTTTAGTTCCTTTCCCAGCATCTCTCTTTAAATGACAATTGATACTCTGACAGCTCTTTGAAATAAGCATGTCTTTTAGTCAAACCCAAGAATGGATATCCCACTTGGCTGCTGCTTTGACCTAAGCCCTATCATTACAGGACGTGAGGCTCTGAAATTAAGTCCCTTTTTTCTGTTTCTAATGTGCTTTTAGACAATAGCTTCAAAGGGTGGGCGGCAGAGGAGGGCGTGTGAATTTTGCATGGGGCTGGTGGGGGGAGGAAAGAGAGTCCTTTTGCAAAGGGATAATGAGGCATCAAAGTCAATGCTAAAAGGAGTCCACGAGAACCAGCCAGATAGTCCGGTCTCTAGAGCCTGCTCTGAAGCCTTCCAGCAGCCTGAAGCATCCAATGTCTTCACAGCAGGAAGCTCGTGTGGCGTCATTAGGTTTGACCAAACCCCTAACGTGGCTCCCCACTTTTCACGGAACTGCTTATCTAACTTCTTCATCTACAGCAATTACCACGTAAGAAAAGAGACAGCCAATCCAGAGCGTTCAGGCAGTCGGCATAGGGCAGCTTAACAACCTGTTCATAATTGTTTCTCCAGGACTTCCGAGTGGGCCCAGACTGCGATGTAGAGATACAGCCCTGCTCTGGGAATGGCAGTATCTCAGGGCCTGAAAACGTGCCCTGGGATTCACATCCTATACCTGAGAATGCACTCCGCTGCTCTATCCAGGGTGGGGGGACCATGATTCAGAAGAGAGCATGGCAGGGGAGGGGGAAGCCAAGGTTTTATTCTTGGATTGCTCAACTGTGCGGTGTCATGATTCTCACTGAGGCATATCTCAAGCAATCTCTAAACAAATAATGTCTAAATTTTGCCAGTGATTTCCTTTCCAGAGTAAAAATAATGATAGAACATAGAGTGAGAAACATGTTTGCTTAGTGGCTGGATAGCAAAGAAAAATGGCAGACAATGTGTGATGAGAAAGAGTCTGAGAGTTGTCATTTGACCCAGCTGTATCAGCCCCCCTGGACTGCCCCGTCTCAGAACTCCTGTGTGCATAAAACTAGGGCTTGATTACACGGATCTGGACTCTTTCCTTTCCTAGGATAGCCTAGAACCGCATTTATGTTTTTGAAGGTACTAACTATGTCTTCATTTTACCAATGAAGAAACTGAGGTGCAGGGAAGTAGACTGACATACTATAGTTAGGACTAGACCTCAGATCTCTTGGCTCAAACTCTGTCCAATCTCCTACAACAGTGGTTCTCAAACTTCAGTATGTGCTAGAATCACATGGAAGGCAGGTTTCTGGGGCCTACCCCAGGAGTTTCTGACTCAGTGGGTCTAGGGGAGAGCCTGAAAATGTGCATTTCCCGCAGGTTTCCAGGTGATACTGATGCTGCTGGAAACCTGGGACCAACCTGGGACCACACTTTAAGAACTACTGTACCATATTATATCTAATCAGTTTAATCAAATCCCCATGGAGACTGTTGCTCTTCAAATTCTGGACTGGTCTTTCCTCCTACCCATCCAAAACCCTACAAGCACGTAAAATGTGGCTGCAGTGATTGGCTCTGCGCACTGATTCAGGTTTTCCAGCAGCCAGCCCAGTATTTCTCCATTGGCTAGGTTACATCCAGCTACTCTGGGTGCTCCAGAGGCTCTGTGCCCCATAGAAAACAGACACCTACCCTAAATCAAAGGAGGAGTATCTTTCAGGGAAAGAGTATCTTTCAGCCTGCATTGTGTTTAAGAAAATCTGAGGCGCTGGAGCGCCTGGGTGGCTCAGTCGTTAAGCGTCTGCCTTGGGCTCAGGTCATGATCCCAGGGTCCTGGGATCCAGCCCCACATCAGGCTCCCTGCTCAGAGGGAAGCCTGCTTCTCCCTCTCCCACTCCCCCTGCTTGTGTTCCTGCTCTCACTCTCTCTTTCCCTCTGTCAAATAAATAAATAAATAAATAAATAAATAAATAAATAAATAAAATCTTTAAAAAAAAGAAAAGAAAAGAAAATCTGAGGGGCCAATACTGTCACAATTTTCAGAGCAAGACACTATGTCATGGTGGTTGAGCACACCATCCTGAATCAGGTAGACCTGGGTTTGAGTCTTGGCTCCGCTACTTACTTGCTAAGTAGATAAGCTTGGACAAGCTATGCCCTAAGCTTCAGTTTCCATACATGCAAAGTAGGGGTAATAAATACCAACTATTGTTATTGTAGGCTTGGGGAAAAAGACTGTTCTGGTGCTAGGAGTTAACACAAGCCCAACGAGAGTGATGCGTTATTTACTAGCAGCAAAAACTAATTCTAATCAGGATGCCATTTAATGAATCTTTTACTTTGTGCAAGGTGTTGCACTGAGCGCTTAACGTGGATAATTTCATTTAATTCCCACAACAACTCCCATTTTGCCAATGAGGAAACTGAGGTGCAAATTGGTTAATTAGCTTGTGCAAGGTCACATATCTTGACCTTGGTTTTGAATTCAGGTAGTCTGAGTTTAGAGCCACTACTCTTAACTACCAAGGTTAGCTGCTCAAGGCCCACATAAGAGTAGTCCACTCACCATTCATTCTCTTTGGCATCAGGGAGTAGGAAAATGGAAGGGAGATATGAGAAGCAAAGAAAAGTTGCAAGCTTCTCCCTTAACCAACTTCTTATCTTACTGGACCCATTGTCTCTCATGCCACCTCCTGACCCCAAGGAAGTATCTCAGGATTGATGCTGTTTGTGACATGGATAAAATGTCAATTGTCAAAGGAAGTAAGGAAAAACGGTGGACATGGATAATCCACAAACTAGTAAGTTCCAAAGACACTAAAAGTGGGCAGCAACTGTATCACAGAAATGGCAAAAAGAAGAAAATCTTTCTCCATTTTTATTAAAAGAGTAGCAAGTGCAGAAAAAAAGCATCAATTCCTAAAGAGGGAGAGAGACTGAAGGTAAAGCTTTGGCAAGGGAGTCTTACGTAGGTGTATCTGAGCGCCAGAACACACCAAGGGTTCTATAATAAATTTCCCTTTCCAATCTACCTACAAAACATGGTGGGGGGGGGGCGGTCATTAGGATAAAAATACTATTTCTCAGAATATTTGTAGCAGATGTTAGAATTTTTAATTTCCTCCCAAAGACTCTACCATCCATGAGAACCCAAGGGTATGCCCATTACCTGTTTTTCCAGCTGGACAGGGATTTGGAGGGTCCGGGTAGCCCTGATCTTCACTAAAGTCCTTAGGAATGTTGTCACCAGTCAACTCTGCCACAATGTTTGGGATGTTGCCAAAAGGACCCAAGTGCTGAAGACCTTCATGGGCTCCACCTGCCAGGGCATCAGAGTAGTTCACTTCAGTGCAATTAAATTCATTTCAACTAATATGTACTCAGGCAAAGCACTGTGATCTATACTGTGGAAAGAGAATAAGAAATCAAATAGTTCCCACCCTTTAGGGCTTAAAACTTTAGTTGTGGAAATAGACACATGCCCCCACATGTACCATTTCCATACAAGGCATTAGATATGAGACCTAATAGAAATGTTAATACAGCATCATGGGAGCACAGTGAAGGGAGAGTTTCATTTGGCTGATAGGATGGGGAGGGCTTCCAGGACGAGCTGGAACTTGAGTGGCACTTGGGGGCAGGGTAGAGGAAGAGATAGGGAGGCAACTGCTGCCAGGCATGGGAACAGGCTGAAAGACAACACATTTCCAGAAAAAGAAAGAAAAGGGGTGCCTGGATGGCTCAGTCGTCAAGCGTCTGCCTTCAGCTCAGGTCATGGTCCCAGGGTCCTGGGATCGAGCCCCGCATCAAGCCCCACATCGAGCACCGCATCGGGCTTCCTGCTCAGCGGAGAGCCTGCTTCTCCCTCTGCCCGTCCCCCTGCTTGTGCTCTCTCTCTCTCTCTCTCTGTGTCAGATAAATAAATAAAATCTTTAAAAAAAGAAAGAAAGAAAGAAAAAAGTCACTGTCCTCCGCCACTCTAGAACAACCACTTAAAACTTGGTATATTTTCTTCAATCCTTTCTCTTCTGCATAGCTCTTTATACTTAAGTGTTTATTCATGTTTATTTAATATTAAAGCACAAGCATTTGCCCATGTGGCTGTGTGGTCTCTCCTCACATAATTACAAATGGCTATGTTGTTTTTCTATCCAGTGGCTGTACCACAACATATTAATCATTCCCCTATTGTGGGACATTTAGTGTTTCCCAATTTACTCTTAGGAATTTTTTCCATATTTTGGATTAATATTTCTCAGGATAGATTCCCAGAAGTCAAATTACTAGGTCAAAGGCCATAAATATTTTTATGGGTCTTTATATTATATTGCCACGCTGTTTTCCAACCTGGAAAAGGAGGTACCACTTTATAAAATAAGGTCAACAAAATACGAGAATACCGTTTTTATAATATCTCTACCAGCATTGGGTTTTATAAAAATAATTTTTGCTTTCTTTACTAATTTAAAAGATGTTTAGAAAAATTAACTGTCTTATTTTTAAAGTCCTTGATTACCAGCTCAGTCAAATATATTTCCATGTGTTTATTTACTAGCTTTAATTTTTTTTAAGATTTTATTTATTTATTTGAGAGAGAGGGAAAGCACAGAGGGAGAGTGACAGGCAGAAGCAGACTCCCTGCTGAGCGGGGAGCCTGACGTAGGGCTCAATCCCAGGACCCTGGGATCATGACCTGAGCCAAAGGTAGATGCTTAACCAACTGAACCACCCAGCCGCCCCGTACCAGCTTTAATTTCTTTATGAAAGTTGTCTGTTTATGCTCTTGGAATTTTAATCGTTTCTCTTATCAATTTGCATGAACACTTTACATAGTAAAGAGAATAAGACTTTGGCTGTTACATCTCCTGCAACCACGTTCCCATTTCCTCTGACTCGGAATTCTGGTTATTATAGCAATATTTTGCAACCCTAAGTTTTTAATATTTATGTAGTCAGATATGCTCTTGTTATTCTCCTTTGTGATTTCTTCTTGTCTTTTTAAATTTATAAAATTGGGTGGCGCCTGGGGGGCTCAGTCGTTACGCGTCTGCCTTCGGCTCAGGTCATGATCCCAGGGTCCTGAGATTGAGCCCCACGTCGGGCTCCCCGCCCAGCGGGAAGCCTGCTTCTCCCTCTCCCACTCCCCCTGCTTGTGTTCCCTCTCGCTGTGTCTCTCTCTGTCAAATAAATAAACAAAATCTTTAAAAAAATAAAAAATAAAAAAATAAATTTATCAAATCGTTGCCCTTTCAGGAGTACTACCAACATTTGGATATTTTAGTTTTTCTATTTTTTTCTTTCTTTCTTTGTTTTTGTTTTGTTTTGTTTTGTTTTGTTTTAGTGCATGTAAAATAATTAACCAATTATCCCACCAGCATTAGTGAAGTAATCCTGTCTTTCCTGTTCAGGAAGCTTACTCTACGAGCACTATAGCAGGCTATTTCTTGGAATGAATTCCTATCTAGTAATTGTAGTGGGACATAGCTCTCTTAATGCAAAAGGTACATCTTATACATGAAGGGCCAAATCAAAATCAAAAGGTGCCTTGGTTGGTGTGCATGGATTTAGAGTCAAAATCAGGCTGTGATAGCCACACTTCCAGGAGAAGGCTCCATAGCTCAGGGGTTAGAGCACTCATCTCGTATAATAGCCACACGTCCACCTCCACGGGACATCTTGCCAATAGGTTATATTATTTAAGCCCAGCTGGATGAGGCACCCTTCTCCCCTGGATGAGATGTGTCAAGGTTACTGCTCTGACACCTGCCTTTTTTGCGTTTTTGACTGAACCAGCTCCCGTTTGGAGCAACACATTTTTTTCCTCTGGAAATATTAATATATTCAGGAGGACCATGGTTAGATCTTAGTGTCCTGGGAATCACACTGTCTTTGAGATGACTTTGTATCAGCCTGTCTTAATTTATTACGTCAGATTAAAGTTGATCCTTAAAAGGATCATTGTACCTCCTTCAATTTCAAATTTCTCTAGCCCCCAAAACATAGATATCATCAAGTGGCTGGGTTGTTTCATTTACATTTATATTATATTTCATTGCTTTGTGATGGGAGTGAGTAGCCTGCAAAATTTCTGCATTAAAAAAAGGTATTATTTTTGGAAAATGTCCATGTGAACATTTAAAATAAGATGTAATTTTATATCTATCACAGTCTGATGCTTTAATCCTATCTTAATTTGATGGTTATGTGTTAAAATCTATTACTACCAATAAGTCTCTCAACCTCTTATTCCTTGATGTTTTTGCTTTAGCATTTTGATAATATGAGAGTTGCCATGTTCGAGAGTATAAATTCTTCATTTTAATTGTGTTATTAATTGGCTATTGAGTAAAAACGTAATTGACAAATCATATTTCTCCCATTAGCCTCACTGCTCTTCATTCTGTTGTTTTGCTTGGTCAATCTTTGATCATCCTTCTATTTGTAACTTTCTGTATCTTTCTGATGGATTTTCCAATTCCTCCTGTGGTGTCTGCCTTCAGAGACATTCAAGGGATTCCTCTTTATTACCCCACATTAACCCAAGGCGTGCAAAAGGTTAAACAGACAGATCAGCGCCCTTGGTATTGATACATTTGAAACTTTGTACAATCTTGGCAATGCAGCCGCCCCGTGTTTGCTACAGGGCATGCTCTCTGGTGTCAATACATGTCTCAATTTTTGAAAGCACCCTAGCCTTAAGTGCCAGGAATTATCCGACTTGGCTTAGGGGAGAATGCATGTCTTCTTAATGTTCCATTAGTAATTAATGAAGGAAGCAAACACAGTTTCCTTTACGGAAGGCCTGCCAAGGCTCTGTTTACCTCTGTGCACCGGGGCCATTAAAATGAATGCAGCACTTGTTAGGGAGTAGCAGATGTTTCTTACCAGGCAGATACATTATAACACAGGCTCTTTTAAAAACTACATTTAATGACCTCAAATCAAGAAACACTGAGGTAGGAACTGTGGGAGATACATGGAAGTAACAAATGCTATTCTTTGCTCTCCAGGAGCTTGAATTTTATAGACAAGAAACCATATTTAGGTAATAATTAGAAAATGATATAGTTGAGTATGCAACCAAATGCTAGTTATTGGGTTCATTATGTTTAGATTATGTTAATTTCTTATACCTGAAACCAAGTCAATCAAAATGTTATGATGCAATGGATGCTCTTTGTTCTATTTGTCACAGTCTCAACCAAACACAGAGTTTAAAATTATTAATTAGTCAGTTTAAAAAATATGTATTGAGCACATACTACATACTACATACCAAGACCTGGACTAAGTGCTAGAACCAGATAAACGGGGGCGCTGCTTTCACAGTTTACAGTCTGCAAAAGATGTACAAAGAAGAACACACTTGTAATGCAGAGTTGGAATGCACTTCTAATATAACTGGGATACAGCAAGATGTCACAGGCATGATGGGAGAAACATCTAACCCAAACGTGGGACATGGAGGACTTCTTGCAGGAAGCAACATACCAGTGATTACGTTAGGTGCTGTGGAAGACAAATGTAAAAGACATGGTTCTTACTCTCTAACTGGTTCTTTAATTTAGATGGTTCTTCAAGGTTAACACAATAAGCCAGTGGTATAGATAAGATACATCCCCTGACATAATTCATTATGGTATAGACTGTAAATGATGTAGAAATTCAGGGAACAGAGAACCTGCCAAAAAAATACCCATGAAAGAGATGACCCTTGAGTTGGAATAATCATCAAAGACAGGATCCATCCTTACAGGTAGCAAAGGAAGAACCACAAGTGAGAGCACAGAGGCAGATGTAAGCAGGGAAGGTTTGAGCATCCGTGATGAGCACTGTTGGGGAAGGGGGGGCAGAGCTGGATGGAAGGGGAGAAGGCCAATGCCAGGCAGAAAAGTATGAATTAACATAGGAATAAATGGCAACCAAACTTTCTGGGCAGGAGAGCAATGTAATAATTGGATGTTACACAGAATGTTAATTTAGCAACAATTTAAAGCCCTTGTTCCCACCTAAGGATGCATATCAGAATCACTTGTGGCATTTTTTTTTTTAAGACTTATTTATTTATTTATTTATTTATTTATTTATTTATTTATTAGACAGAGAGACACAGGGAGAGAGGGAACACAAGCAGGGGGAGTGGGAGAGGGCAAAGCAGGCTTCCCGCCGAGCAGGGAGCCCAAAGCGGGGCTCGATCCCAGGACCCTGGGATTATGACCTGAGCCAAAGGCAGATGCTTAACAACTGAGCCACCCAGGCGCCCCTCACTTGTGGCATTTTTTTTTTTTTAAGATTTTATTTATTTATTTGAGAGAGAGA